AAAGATAGATGTATGGATGTGTAGGCTGTCATTTTATTTCTTGGAATTACAGGCATCGGGAAAAATCTAGCCAGTATCGTAGCATATCACCGTAGTAGCTTGCCTAGATTCATATTCACATGTGTGATTGAGTTTATTGTCGTATAGGATTTCAATATACATTCATTAAATTGTGCAAGGCTACCGCACCACATGCACAAAATGGATTTTGTCCGCGGGCTTAGATAGCTCTAGACAACTGTGCAATAGCAAAGACTACTCTGTAACATTTGATGTTGTGACTTAAACTTATGATGTGTTTGGTCCAAGGTTGTTCTGAGTTCCTTGTAGCTCAAAATAATAAACGGATGTATTCGCTCCATCTTTCTTTTCCTTTTTCAGTTTTAAGAGATGGAATATTTGTGTCCCTTGCAAATACTAATGCTTCTCACCCTTAATTACTAGGCGGTTCACTGTATGTATGGTTGATGCTGATTGTATTCTGCTTAGGGTTTGATACTGGCAGATTCTGACTATTCCATGTAATAGTAGGTAATGGGTCTTCCTCGGCGGGGGGCGGCAGCACAACCTCATCGGACATTGGGTGAAGGGGCTGCTTGTCCTTGTTGTCAACGGTCGGGAGCACCTCCGTGCCAATCTCATTGCTCTCCTCGATCTGCACATAATTCATGGAGTCAAGCACAACACAGAGTTCATGGCTAATTGAAGAGCGTGTAGTTAAAACGGCATGACTGTCACTCTTCTCCTCCTCTCAATCCCTCCTATATTTTACTCACCCTGCCCACGACTACTTACCCACCCCCTCTCTTCTCTCACTAACAAACTTCCTCCTCCCCATCGTCATGAGCTCTAGCTCCAGCTCCAACGCCAACCCCTTCCCTTGGGGTATTGGCTGGAGGGCCTTCTTCCTCGGGTGGACGGCTAGTGACCGGACCCAGTTCGAGAACACCATGGAGGTGTGCTTGAACTTCGGCTCCATGCCTGAGATGCAGAAGGAAGCTAATGCAGTGCTCATGAAGGCCACTGCAGAAGAGCTGAAGACGCTGGTTCCTGACCCAACGAAGGGCGTGATGGCAGTTGACATCATTCGCCGGGCCATGAATCAGTCCGTCTCCGACGATGCTAAACAAAGGAAGAAGTGGTGCAAGTACAATACCCACTGGGTTCCTGATGACCGTCGCGCCGCAGTGTACTGGGAGACGGCTATCGCGCCACCGGCGGTCATCTACGGGGAGCCTAAGGCGGAGGAGGAAGAAGCGGTGCACAATGCCAGTAAGGGCGCCGGAGCCAGGCCGTCGTACCTGGCAGATCGACCTCGACTCTGCCGAGGACGATGACCCACCGGCCCGCACGGCGATGAAGAAGAAGATGAAGGCCAGCGGCTCGACCAGCCGCTCCGCACGCCGTGAGTCGGCGCGACACGTACGAAAGAACAAATTGTTAACATATTTTTTTTCTAGTTAGTGATATTGGCAATCGATAAAAGATGTATGCAAGTAAACCATGACAAATATATGCTGTGATACAGTTGTTAATGAAAAATATAATGGTGCCATTCACATCTTTTTTAACGTCGTTACTAATTAACTAGTGGTCAAGTACTGTACATACAAGTATGCTTATTGATTTTCTACAAGAGTATATGCTTTAGACGAAAGGGGTATATAACATGAATAATTTGAGCAAGTCAATTCTTTAATTCTTGCATATGCCATTAATATAATTTTGTTGGCTTCTTTTTTAGATGAACCATGCATTTAGGAGATTAAATGTGATTAAGTGGATTAATCTCAAACCAAATTAACGAGCTACTCCTATATGCTTTTTAAAAAACGTTAAAAAATAGTTGTCTAAGCCCAGGTTCGAACTGGGGACCTTTAGTGTGTGAGACTAACATGATAACCAACTACACCACCCAGACAAGTTGTTTTCTTAAGCCAGGTGCTGCTATATTACCAACTGACATACACGCATGTTGCATGCTTAAACGATTAAACCAAATAATTACGTTGACTAGATTTTACCCCGCGTGTTGCTGCAGGAATTTTTAGTACTGTATAGGAGGATTTATGAAGTGAGAAATAGGGAAACTTATGAAAGGAAATATAAACATATGTCTATTTGAACATTTGAATGGTATAAAAAGTCCGACAAATTAATATATTATAGAGTATCTCCATATTTGCATAACCAAAAGAATGCGTTGCCAACATTAAGAGAACTAACATATATTGATGAAAATTTTCTCATAACGATTCAAGATAATATTTGTTAGTAAGCATGTAGTACAGTAGTAGGGCTATAGGCACCATATAGTTAAACTAAATTTCAGAGAGAATGCAAGTATGTTAATAAGAGTATTTCATATTTCCTTTCATTTGTATATGCAGGTGATTGTTGTGACAACAGTAGAACCCTACAATTTGGGAAGAACAAAAATGTCAATCACACAATTGTATCACTCGAGTAATAGAACAGAACGAACCATAAAATTCAGAATGGAACACCTGAAAATGAACAAATTACCTGAAAATTATATGATATATGTTGTGAACTTGTGATTCTACAAAATAATCTGCCCAGAGCAATAATAGTACAAAATACTAAACTAACATGTGTGAGAGGGGGGAGACAGAGAGATGCGGGATTGCAGTTGGGCACAATATAGCTCGCCAGGTGGACGCCTGGGCGTAGTCTTGGACCATCATAGCTCACACGACGACAGGGATCACCGGGCTTCAGGAGAGGTGAAGATAAAGGGAAGGATCACGAGGCTCTGATCCGGCAGTAGTGCTTGGGTCTCCGACGGTGACGATCGACTTGTGAATGCTTGGCCGGCCGTGGTGCAATACGAAGAGAAAGAGGTAGAGATAGACGAAACATGGGAAGAACCGATTCGTGTTGTTTCCTTTTCATGAAGGAATAGTTGGAGCTTTATTCGTCCAGGGAGATGAATGAACCTTCGGGGGTTCGTTGATTAGATAAGATTAATAGGGCAATAAGACGGCGGTTCAGGAGATGGCCAATAATATTCCTTCAGTTATGGAAAAAAATTAGCGCATGCACAGCCTAATCCCTTAAAACTCGTGCAGTTATTGTACTCTCTCCGTTTCTTTTTAGTCTGCATATAAGATTTGGTCAAAGTCAAATTTTATAAAGTTTGACCAACTTTGTTGGAAAAAATATCAACATCTACAACACTAAAGCTATATGGTACGAAAATTAATTTCATGATGCATCTAACAATATTGATTTCTTATTATGAATCTTGATTATTTTTTTCTATAAACTTAGCCAAAGTTGATAAAGTTTGACTTTGACCAAATCTTATATGCAAGGCTAAAAAGAAATGGAGGGAGTATGTGCCTTCTTTCTCTCGATTCCTCTCCCTAGCATGATCCACATGCACATGAATAGCCCAATCAGATCCTTCTTTCCCGGGCATGCATTGTTATTTGTGTTGTGCCCCTCATCGCTCCAATCAAGGCTAGATTTATTCCTGGCAATAGTGTGCATGCTGCATTAATTCTCTAATTTTCCAGCCCTCTAAATATGGACGTGGCTGGATAGGAGTCTAGTGATAGACATATTTTTTTCCTAATTATTTCTTGCATCTAGGGTGGAAGGATGCATGTCTCATGAGTGGGTGCATGGATGAGGAACTGCTGACGTGGTAGGTTGATGACCTGGACAGTGTACATGCTAAGAGAATTACTAGTAGTGGGAATCAACTTCTTAAAAATGTTAGATAAGTTCTTTACAGTGTTATAAAGGCTTACACCTCAATAGCTTCCCTGGATACTCTGCATATTTGCCTTTTGTCCTAATTTATGCTTCCCATCCCATAATATAAGACGTCTTTTGACACTAGTGTAGTGTTAAAAAATATCTTACATTATAGGACGGAGTAGTATTACTTTACAATATAATAAAGTTTGGCCAAGTTTATAGTAAAAATTTATGAACATTTACAATACGGAATCAATGCCAGTAGATTCATCATCGAATATATATTCACATTATATATATTTGTTATTATAAATTTTAATATTATTTTTATAAACTTTCAAACTTATAAAAGTAAAGTTTCACTTAGGACAAAACTAAAATGCAAAGTAAAAAAAAAGATGGAGTACTAGAGTGGTGAGAAACCTAACTGAAACATATGAGTTGCAACATTGCATAAATAACAGATAAATAATGGACTTTGGAGCTATTTAAATTCGAGCAATGAATATGCCTCTTCTTTCGCAATATAGTGGTCAAACACAAAAAAAAACGACATTCACGTTCCAACATAACATCAATGTTATAAGGGACCATGGTGCCCGTTGCCTAGATGAGGAGAGCTGAGAGGAGGAGGTACGTAAGAATTTTCATCCATTTTTCAATGAATTTCCGCAAAATACATGTGCACGGATCACAACGTAGATACATGCCCCTGCGAATTCCGCACGCACGTGCCCCTGCAAAATTTCGCAACATCCAAAATCATGCATCATGTGTGCGTTCACGATTGCTTAGCTAGTACTCCCTCCTTTCCGGTTTATAGGGCTTATTTTAAAATTTTAGTTTCTTCATTTTATAAGGCTCAGTTTGGTTGTTCCTCATCATATGTTCAGACTTCAAGGTGCATTAAATCATTGTATGCAAGTATTAAGATAAAACTGACCAATGCATGCACTTTATGCATGCATGCATTGCAATTAATGCATTCGTAAACATAATTTTTTGAGGAAAACAAGAGCATTAGTTGAGTGTTTTTCAAACTACAAAAAATATTCCACCACTCATCATCTACCTTGGTTGGTGAGATTTTTGAATTGAGCCTTATAAACCGGAAAGGAGGGAGTAAAATAGACAAATCTACTTTAGAAATACATTAAAAACTAACAACAATGTAGCAAAATAATTGTACTAGGGGACAACACTCAGGTGCTACTTTATCACTGAATCTGCATGCAGAAGAGTTTAATCGATGAGGCCCTCTTAATAATTAACTACGCACTAATTGTTCGACCACCATCGACAGCGATGACTTGGCCGGTGACGAAAGATGCCGCCGGCATGCAGAGGAACGAGACCACTGCAGCCACCTCCTCTGGCTCGCCTGCCCGCCGCATCGGAGTCCTCGCCAACTCGGTCTCTTTAATTTCCGGTGGAAGCTGTTCCACGCACAAATGATCAGTTCTCCAAATGATTTGTTTCTTTGAAAAATGACAGTATAAGAGAATCCTACTATATACGTAAAAAGTCATAACTAATTAGGCTAAATGGTTTTGTTTGTGTATTTTTTGAATGTAATTTTAATGAAGACTCGGTAGGTGCCTACACTGTTTAACATGTCACTCTTGGTCGCGCCCGGGGCGACGCAATTCACTCGGATCTTGTTTTGGGCCCATTCGGTAGCAAGGCTCCTTGTAAGCTGGTTAATTCCTCCTGGTATATTAGAGACAAAAAAGAGATGTCAGTCTTATGCCTCACTTGAAAGTTGGATCGAGTCGTGGTTATGAATACCTTCAGTTAGAGCTTCTTTGAGTTTTTATACAAGTAGTTAGATTGGATAGCTAAAAAGTTATAGTGCGATTTCGTCTCGAAAAAACATTGTCGCTTGAGACAAGGAAAGATTCAAATTTTCAAAATAGTAACTTGACTATCGATATCTAGAAATATTGAGATTGGATTGAACACCTAAAATCATGTGTGTGAATTTGCATCGGAAAGTACACCATTCAATTTTTTGGACTCTACAAACATAGAAATGAAAGCATGGTTGTTGTTTCAGACATTTACCTGATCTTTAAAGTACAAATTAAATCACTATTTTCTGAAACCGTCATTATTTGAAAGTTTCAGTTTTAAAATGGGCGCTATAATAATACTCAAATTTCAAAACAGGAAGACCGGAGGGAGTTACCTTTTGTCATACTGTAAATTGCGAGGCCCGGGAACCCAAGTGTGCCCCCAAGGGAGGATATGTTGACAATGCTCCCTCCTCCAGCGATGGAGGCCCCGAGGAGCAAGGGGTGCGCGAGCTGGCTCAGGTGGAAGCACGACTCTAGGTTGGTTGCCATGAGGTGCGAGTACTCCTCCGATGTCCACTCCACGCCCGGCTTGGCTAGAATCTGCGCCGCGTTGTTCACCTGCATATATACAGTAGGAATGATCCAGCGAAAACACTTAGCCCTTTATGTCCAGACCAACCTCTTTGGATTGGGTGGAATTTTAGAGCCCATTTGCAATCTCAATCCGAAGTTCATCAGATTGAACTGGCAAACTCTGGAGATTTCAGGAAGACGACTTACCAGTATGTCGAGCTTGCCGTCGAAGACTTGCTTGGCCGTCTCCACGAGCTGCTCCCTGTGGGCGCGCAGGGAGACGTCGCAGACGGAGACGGTGACCGGGAGCCCCTTGGCCTCCCACCGGCGGCGGCACTCCTCCAGCTCCGCCGCGCTCCGGGAGCACGTGTGCACCCGCGCCCCGTGCCCCGCCAGCTCCTCCACGATCGCGTGGCTGTTCTCCACCCATCGATAAGCACATGAATATATGCATCGATCGGTCGATCAACGACTATAGTGCAGTAAATTGCATCTTCCTACCTAAGCTAGCCGATTAGATTACAGTATGATCACGTACCCGATCCCTTTGCTGCCGCCGGTGACGAGCGCCGTCGCGCCGGCCAGGCTCCACCTCTCCTCCCTGCTCATGCCACCGGCCGCCATCTCTCTCTCTCTCTGTGCGTGTGTGCGCGTGTTCTGGTACTCTGTGCTGTGGAGTGGGCGAGTCGCGGCGTAGGTAGGGAGAGTTACCTCGCTTCACACGTAGCGTAGGCAGTGTGTGGCAGAAACACATGTTCCACGAGCACCGAGCATCATAGTGTCCAGTCGTATTTGCCTACTCCAGACAGTCAAGCCACACTCCAATTTGTAGACCGATCACTGGTTCACGGTGAATGGGAGATGGATTGGCCATTGGCGATTGACGATGCATGCAAACGGACGCGGTTGGCGTTTTCTCAAGAATAGCTGCCGTTTCGGATGTCGATTCCATTATTACAGCTTTGACCACTGATGACTTATCCTTGCAAAATTATATACTCCAAAGTTTATTGTTACATGTACTTGTCGGAGCTTTTGGCGGAGTTTGAATCATTGCGTCGCTGTAATCTACTCCCTAAAGTTGAGTCATCTATTTTGAAACGGAGGGAGTAGATGATAATTATTGCGCGGTTCTCCGTCCCGGTGGTTTGCGGCTGGAGGCTCCGGTGGTGGTGGGCCCTGATGGTGTACTTTGGGTCTGGGAAAACCTTGGCCAGTCTGGCCGGCCCGGCGGCGGCGACATCTATGGGCGCCGCTTTCCTTCATGAAGGCGCAACTGAGGGTCCAATCTACCCACCCTGATCCCCGACCGGATGAAAAACTTCAATACTTTACGGATCTGGCGGCAACGGCGCTTTTCGCGTCGTGATGTTTCTGGAGATGTCGTCAGGGGCACTAAGGCTTTGTTGGGAGTGCAGAGGATCTACAAGTGGAGGGGATGGGACCAGTGGTAGCAGGTGGTGTTCGCGAAGAAGGAGCGGCGCTGCATCTGACACGTCGACAACTGCGGGTCTCAGCGGCATGGAGCAGCGGGGTCTCGCTGCTGGGCGTGTGTTGATGGACGAGCGCAGGAAGGTGGCGTTGTCTGGCGTCGTGGTGACGTCGACGACAGCTAGACTGGGCAAGATTGATGCATCAGTACAACTCTGAAGATGGAGTGGTGGCAGTTGGCGGCGGCGACCTCTGAGAGCGCGCCGGACCGGTGTGTTCCCCATACCCAGCAAATGGCTTAGTTGGGGCCTCAGGTCTTAGATGTTAGGCTTGGTTGCGAGGTCTGTTTCGTATTAGGCCCGGACTATCAACATCTCTTCATCAAATGGATACGAGTAGCGACAGATGTTGCCTAAACGGTGACTTCAGACTTACTGTTGTATTTTTTTAAGGTCTTTTAAAAATAATTAATAAAATGGTAGCTTGCATCGTCCAGATGCAGAGGCTGTGGGCCTTTCTCTTTTTTTTAAAAAAGCTCTCTTGACGTGCCTTTTAGGAAAAGCCGTCGTTGCGACTTTATTCAAAATGGCATAAAAATTGCATCATTTGTTAGTTGTGCGAATATTGCATCAGGTGGTTCATGTTGTTGCCACAGAATAGCACTAAAACTCTTAGAATTACGAGCTAAAAACTGCGCTAACTTGATTGGCTTCTCTAGGTCAGTGATCGAACTTGACAATAGCAAAACCTCTACAAAAGGAAGGATTCTTCTTCATAAACTGCAGCAGCGACACCGATTGAGTCTCCATAGTTATCCATCGTGTCAATAACATCCATATAGTTAGAGTGTACCAAAAGCTTGTTGCATGACACTTGCCCTACTAGGATTAGACCGTTTCTCAATGCTATCGGCTCCGTCATCACGCAAGAGAATTCAAATCTATCTGCAATAAATTAAGTTGTGAATTAATATTAGTTTCCTTATTCACGTATGTTATCCCCCTCCCCCCTCCCCAACATCGAGTGGGTTGAACGATCATCTTAAGGATGTTTCTACATGGAAGATTAGCTCTAGCCGATGTTGTCCTTTTGCCTTCTAGATAAGTATACAAGGTGCAACACATGCTTACTCTATGAGTTTATCATTGTACTTGTCTTCCATGGGTAGAAATTGAGGCATGTAAGTAAGTAGGCACACAACTTTTGCACATAATAGCAACATGTACTTTATTTGCATGCTAACCTGATATATTCAATCTTTTATGTACCTTGATCTTGGGTAGTACGTCACGTCATACACAAGGGAAACCCTAGGCCCCCGCGCCGTTGAAGGAAATATGCCCTAGAGGCAATAATAAAGTTATTGTTTATTTCCTTAAATCATGATAAATGTTTATTATTCATGCTAGAATTATATTAACCGGAAACATAATACATGTGTGAATACATAGACAAACAGAGTGTCACTAGTATGCCTCTACTTGACTAGCTCATTGATCAAAGATGGTTATGTTTCCTAACCATAGACATGAGTTATCATTTGATTAACGGGATCACATCATTAGGAGAATGATGTGATTGACTTGACCCATTCCGTTAGCTTAGCACACGATCGTTTAATATGTTGCTATTGCTTTCTTCATGACTTATACATGTTCCTATGACTATGAGATTATGCAACTCCTGTTTACCGGAGAAACACTTTGTGTGCCACCAAACGTCACAACGTAACTGGGTGATTATAAAGATGCTCTATAGGTGTCTCCGAAGGTACTTGTTGGGTTAGCGTATTTCGAGATTAGGATTTGTCACTCCGATTGTCGGAGAGGTATCTCTGGGCCTACTCGGTAATGCACATCACTATAAGCCTTGCAAGCATTACAACTAATGAGTTAGTTGCGGGATAATGTATTACGGAACGCGTAAAGAGACTTGCCGGTAACGAGATTGAACTAGGTATTGAGATACCGACGATCGAATCTCGGGCAAGTAACATACCGATGACAAAAGGAACAACGTATGTTGTTATGCGGTTTGACCGATAAAGATCTTCGTATAATATGTAGGAGCCAATATGAGCATCCAGGTTCCGCTATTGGTTATTGACCGGAGACGTGTCTCGGTCATGTCTACATAGTTCTCGAACCCGTAGGGTCCGCACGCTTAAAGTTCGATGACGATTATATTATGAGTTTATGTGTTTTGATGTACCGAAGGAGTTTGGAGTCCCGAATGAGATTGGGGACATGACGAGGAGTCTCGAAATGGTCGAGATGTAAAGATCGATATATTGGATAACTATATTCGGACATCGGAAAGGTTCCGAGTGATTCGGGTATTTTCAGGAGTATCGAGGAGTTACGGGAATTCGTATTGGGCCTTAATGGGCCATACGGGAAAGGAGAGAAAGGCCTCAAAGGGTGGCCGCACCAACAAATATCTACTTAATGAAGCACAAGTCTGAAACATTTGAAAAGTTCAAAAACTTCAGAGTGAAGTGGAAAATCATCATGACAAGAAAATAAAGTTTCTACGATCTGATCGCAGAGACAAATATTTGAGTTACGAGTTTGGTCTTCAATTAAAACAATGTGGAATAGTTTCACAAACTCATGCCATCTGGAACACCACAGCATAATGGTGTATCCGAACGTCATAACCGTACTATTATTGGATATAGTGCAATCTATGATGTTTCTTACCGATTAACCACTACAGTTTTGAGGTTGTGCATTAGAGACAGCTACATTCACATGAAAAATGGCACCATCGAAATCCGTTGAGACGACGCCTTATGAACTGTGGTTTGGCAAGAAACCAAAGTTGCCGTTTCTTAAAGTTTGGGGTTGCAATGCTTATGTGAAAAAGTTTCATCTTGATAAGCTCAAACCCAAGTGGAGAAGTGCATCTTCATAGGATACCCAAAAGTAACTGTTGGGTACACCTTCTATCACAGATCCGAACGCAAGATATTTGTTGCTGAGAATGGATCCTTTCTAGAGAAGGAGTTTCTCTCGAAAGAAGTGAGTGGGAGGAAAGTAGAACTTGATGAGGTAACTGTACCTGCTCCCTTATTGGAAAGTAGTTCATCACAGAAATCTGTTTCTGTGACTACTACACCAATTAGTGAGGAAGCTAATGATGGTGATCATGTAACTTCAGATCAAGTTACTACCGAACCTCGTAGGTCAACCAGAGTGAGATCCGCACCAGAGTGGTACGGTAATCCTGTTCTGGAGGTCATGTTAATTGACCATGACGAACCTATGAACTATGAGGAAGCGATGATGAGTCCAAATTCCACGAAATGGCTTGAGGCCATGAAATCTGAGATGGGATCCATGTATGAGAACAAAGTGTGGAGTTTAGTTGACTTGCCCGATGATCGGCAAGTCATAGAAAATAAATGGATCTTCAAGAGGAAGACGGACGCTGATAGTAGTGTTACTACATACAAAGCTAGACTTGTCGAAAAAGGTTTTTGACAAAGTTCAAGGTGTTGACTATGATGAGATTTTCTCACTCGTAGCGATGCTTAAGTCTGTCCGGATC